ATTTGACTTGATCATTGATGTAAAAGCACTATAATCGGCAATAAGGCTCAAAACAACTTTGACATGATAAATAAAATCAGCACTAATGTGTTGAACATATTTGCATGCCGATTCATCATATTATCACTTTCATGAGGTGAATTTAATTATCCAACATGCATATACCATGCCGCCCGGACGTTGAAGCCATCAGTGCGATGTTCATGTGGGTTATTCTCATACCACGATGGCTGGAAGTATTCATCGGCTATATATTATGCTAGGGACGATAGTGAAGTATCGACCATATATATGAATCCATCCTAAAAAGTATTCTAACCGAAATAAAAAATAGTTCTGCTCTCAAAATTAATGACAAGTCATCAATAGGCAAAATAATTTGGCAACCCTCAATAGTCCGAAGACCCATACCAATGCTTGAAACAAAGATTGAGGGATAACCAAACATACAATGTCACAATATCAAATGTGGGTGGTGTCCATATAGATTAACACCTTTTTCTGGTAAGAAACGATAGCCTAGTGGTTCTTGAAAAAACAATAGAGGGAGAGAGTGGGTGTAGTCGTTTTCTGAGAAGTACGGCATGAGTAGAGGGGTGCGGTTTAATCACATCTATTCTTGGAGGATTTTTTGTTTTCATATTTGGGTGAGTTTGCAGAGTGAAATTTCGTGGGGCACACTTGTGCTAATATGACTAGCAAGCCTAGGATAATACCCTATCAAATCCTTCACTTGAATTTGATGTTCCTCAAATTTCCCCTTTTCTTATAGGGTACCCGGGTTTTGTGAAATTGATGACAAAATCAAAATCTTTTCAGGAGTTCTCTGCGGAATGGGTCACACATTGTTTGGTAAAGCCGTGGCTCTAATTTTGTTTCAATCAGATTCGATTTGATTTGATTTCAGAGATTCTCAGTAGTGCTGGGGTTGTTGCTCTTGCTACAGGATGTTTTGTTCTTGCCCTCAGCAGTGTTTTGTTTCCTCTGTGTTGGCCTACACAGCAGCTGTCCTTTATGATCCCTCGAGTTCAGTGATGAATGACCGCGTGGCAAGCACGGAGAGAACCTCTCAAAAAGTTCAGTGATGAATGTTTTTGTTCTTGCTGATTGCAATGTAAGGGTCCTTTTCGGTTTGCACCGAAACTACAGGCCGGACTGTCTGATTTTATTCAATAGCGCAACTCTCCGTCAGGTTTCTCTTCCCCTCATCAGTTTCTTGCTGGGACATCAATAGCTGTGCAAAGAGTAGCCTACTATCCTCAGCAGCAGTTCGGCAGCTCAGGTTCTTTGTCAACTCAAAGTTATATTGGCTAATCGTTGCTCTCATGGGTGATTGCTTCATTTGCATGCTAGTAACTATACCTCTTTTCATTCATATACACGGCACCAGTAGCAGCTCAGCAAAGAAACACTCGGCAAAGTTTAGCACTCGGCAAACCAGAAAAAAAAAACACTCGGCAAAAGCTAGGCACTCGGTAAATAACCGCCACGTGGACAACCGTTAGTCCGTGTGCCGTCAGTTAGTACATTTGCCGAAAGTGTCCGTTAGTAGAAACACTTGGCAAACAAATACACTTTCGGCAAACATATTTTTTCCCGAGTGCCAAACACTCGAAAAATATGTTTACCGAGTGTATTTGTTTGGCACTCGCAAAAAAACAAGTTTTTCTTCTAACCTTGAAACTTTTTCTGCTCTCCACATACAACATGTGGTACACCATGTTAAGATTTGGTATATTTTTGGACCCGTTTGCTATATTTAATTAATTTATTGTATTTCAAGGAATTTTTGGTATAAGTCAAATTTGAACTGCAAGTGATTCAAATAATAGAATAAAATGAGTAGAAAAATGATATTCATGTTATTAAGTCCATTGTGAGGCCTTACCAGGGAAATGAAAAGAAATTTCGAACATCTTGTTCAGGAAACACGACCACGAACGTGTGGCATAATAATTTTTAAATTCTAAAAAAAGCAAACGAAGTCTAAAAATTATGAGATTTGTCATGATGTGATGATATCATACGTGGAGGCCGTGGTAAAAAATTGAGATGGTTTCACGCAATTTGTCACGTACGATGTTTACAAACTCAAGCATCTCAGAAGAAGAATCGTAGCGTTGAGAATGATTCGGTAAGATTTAGAGTCAAAGTGACTGTCAAATTGGGGTTTGGCTTCAAAACTTTTTGTATAGGCAATAGAGAACAAAGATTGTTTCATGTGAAATTTTGGTAATTTTTTGGATCCGTTTGACAATTTTAATTTATTAAGTGTAATTATAGAATTTTAATTGATATAAATTGAATTTGAGTTATAACTGCATGAAATAATGGAATAATATTCGTAGAAAAATCAAATATATATTGTTGATTGAATTTGACAAGGTATTTTCAAAGTACATTGGAACAAATTTAGAAAAACACGTTACGGAGAAGAAGGAAAACAAGGAAAATAAAAAAAAACTGTGTTTGTCGAGTGCCCCTAATCTGGCTGTCAGATCAAAACCCCCCCACCCGGCCGCATTTACACGCACAAAGTGTGAAAATGAAAGTGATATATGGTCGGTTTGCCGAGTGTTACACTTAGCAAAGAGGCCTATTGCCGAGTGCCAAGGTAAAAACACTCGACAAAGAGGACACGTGGCCAAAATCTGTACATTTTGGGCCAGTCTTTGCCGAGTGTCCGGATTTGACACTCGGCAAAGCAGCCATGTTTGTGAGTGTTCGGGATTTGACACTCGACAAATCAGCCAAGTTTGCCGAGTGTCCGTGCCTGGACACTCGGCAAACCTGGGCATATTTGCAGAGTGTCCGGGCTTGGGCAATCGGCAAACATGGCTGCTTTGCCGAGTGTCAAATCTCGGACACTCGGCAAACGCGCCGTGACAGTCTCTACGTTGTCATGTTACTTTTTTTTTGCCAAGCGTCGGTTTCAGTTCTCGGCAAAGTATTTGCCGAGTGCCCGATAAAAAACACTCGGCAAAGAGACATTTGCCGGCACTGCAGATGCCGTGTGCTGTTTGCCGAGTGTTTTTTAGGCAGTGGCACACGGCACAGCTACTGTTTCCGGTAGTGCATGCATTATTTGTGGTCTAGCTAGTGACATCTATTAATTTGAGGGTAAACAACGGCTCAACAAGGATGTGCGTACTACTGCTCACTTGGGTGATTGCTATCCCCAGCAGCAGTTCGGCAGCTCAGGTTCTTTGTCAACTCAAAGTTATATTGGCTAATCGATGCTCTCTTGGGTGATTGCTTCATTTGCATGCTAGTAACTATACCTCTTTTCATTCATAGACACGGCAGCAGTAGCAGCTCGGGACAAACTCCATCCTCCTATGTGCGATGTGTCACTTTCAAAACAATCGTGAATCACAAGGAATAATTATTTCCTTTTTGCATGATTTGCGAGTGCAGCTTGCTCAGCTCATTGTTTTCTGACGTAAGTTGATCCAGCTTTCGGTGGTTCTTTCATGCTTTTATCTAGAGCTTGATATTCATTTCACATGTTAATTAGTACTTTTCAGCCTGTAATTAGTAGCTCTTTTGTCTTTGCTTTTACACCACTGTGAGAAATTTCTAATCGTTTCTAAAGGTGAATATACCACTATTTGGCGTGTGTGATCTTGCCTATTAGAAGAACGTGTATCATGTGGTAAATGGGACAAAGACCAAGTTCTTCCTTGACGAAGGTTATTATTTGATCACATTCAACCTTGCTCTGGTCGTTATTTCAGTCCTTCACTACCAAATAGTCCGATTAATATTAGTATTTATCCCTATGGCATTTAGCATTTTTGTAATTTATACAATTTATTATGTACCAAATGAAGAGCAACTCAACATAATGCAGGATTAAATCTCTGCTGTTGCAGTGCACAAGAAATATATGATCTATAGTAAACATAAATTTGCATTTAAGTGCTCAATTGCTATTATGATAGATAATCAATGTAACCCCTTAAATTTATGTTTAAATTACCACTTCTTGATTATTAAATAAACTAAAAATGTCCCCTCAAACCTACATCTAAACTATAAATATCTTCTATTGCAAAAACTATTTAAATAACCAAAAATCATATATATGTTTCCACATTGCCCACTTCTATTAATATTAAAATATTAAAATTTGATTAAAGTTACTATACATGGTGTTTCGTCATACAGATCAAGTAAATATGCATACCTGCGAGATATAAATATATGTTATGTTTTAACAATCTTGATTCGTTTATGACTATTATACTAATTTATATTAACAAATTATTTAAAATCATATTATTACCATAATATATAATTTATACAAGTTATCACTTAAATGATTGGCATATCTATATTAATAGTGTAACCATTAGTATACATATATCTTTGATATAAAAATTTCAAACACCTTGAGAACTAGGGTAGGTTAGTTCAGACCAGATGTAGCCATATTTTATTGTCCTTTAAGATTTCTTTGGAGTAAATAGTTGTTATAAGGCTTAAATTTTCATATCCTTTAGCACAACTACACATCCTAGATCCTCCTTTAAGCTCTACCAATGATCTTAAGCGTTGTGGTGCAGGTTTTAAATTATTGTCTATGCTGTCTTATTACTTATTAAGAGTGTAGTCTACGACTTGAAGTTTTTATTATACTTTTAAAAGTATAAAAGGAGTGAAAATAAACAAAGGGGAAAACATGTATAATTTAATATAGCTATTTTTTATTACTCAAAGATATTAATACAAATATAGAAATTCCCATCATCAATGTCAACGTTATTGACCGTACGATTCACGCAATGGTCCCAGAAGAAAAGAAGTGGCATGTCACATACGCAATGGTCCCAGAAGAAAAGAAAAAAAGACCGAGTCCATCACAGACTCCCTATAAGTAGCTTAGCAGCGTATTGTACCAAGGCCAAGCCGCACTGCTACAGTAGCAACTAAACTAACACGACACAAACAAGCTAGCCACTTGAGAGCAGTAGTCGAAGGCTCGAAGTAGCGAGCGAATGGCGTTCGTCCATGGCGAGCAGCAAGCAGTGCCTTCCGACGAGGACATGGTCGGAGCTTTCGCCCTTCTCTACCACCACGCCTTCAGCTACATCAAGACCATGGCGCTCAAATGCGCCGTGGAACTCGGCATCCCCGACGCCATTCACGGCCGTGGCGGAGCCGCCACCCTGGCTGAGATCGCCAACGACGCGGGGGTGCACGAGTCCAGGCTCCCCGACCTGCGGTGCCTGATGAAGCTGCTGACCACGTCCGGGCTTTTCAGAGCCACCGCCGCGGACGGCGGCGAGGTGGCGTCGTACGGGCTCACGGTGGCGTCCAGCCTCGTGGTCGGCCCACGCAGCCTATCCAACATGGTGCGGTTCGACAGCGCGCGGCCCGGTCTCCCTCACCCCGTTCTTCGACATGCCCACGTGGCTCCGGACCGCGCCGGCGCCGGAGCCGGAGGCCCCCAAGTCGCTCTTCGAGCTGACCCACGGCCGCTCCCGGTGGGACCCAGCGAACGACGATAACGACACGATGAACGTCGCCGCCTTTGCCGAGAGCCAGCTGCTGATCGAGGCGGTTCTTGGCGGCCACCGCGACGTCTTCCACGGGCTGACCTCGCTGGTGGACGTCGGTGGCGGCCAGGGCTCCTTCGCCAAGGCCATTGCGGCGGCGTTCCCGGGCATCAAGTGCACCGTAATGGATCTGCCCCACGTCGTTGACGACGCCCCCGTCGCTGGTGGCGACGTGCAGTTTGTTGCCGGCGACATGTTCGAGTCCATTCCAACACCGGATGCTGTTTTACTCAAGGTATGTATGTCTTGTGTGAGCGTCTCTTTTGCGTAGGAGTGCTACATAATTCTGCTAGTTAATTACTTTACGAGCATTTATAGATCACTACACATTTTTACAAATTATATATGTTTAGTAAACTGTTTATATAACTAATCTTTATACAAACAAAATGTTTATATTTTTATAAAATCAAAGTAGCAGCACTCCTAAATCCTATCGATCCCCCCAGTGTTTAGCAATGCAACAAATTGAACTTCACGTACTCCATCTCTATCATGCACGTGTTTGACTACCTTTGAACGTCACAGATATACGTACAGACTGCAAAACGTTTCACTCGTGCCATAATTTGGAGTTGCAAATTTTTTTTTTGCTCATGTCATGGTCTGGCCATGTGAGCATGGAGGTCGTCTTCCATCTTTTTTAACCTCACAATGCATATAGTCGTATACATAATAGCTATTTATTTAATCACTTCTCCTATATTTTAGGTGCTTGAATTTTAAGATATTTCAGGAAACACCTTTGTACCACCAACTAATACAAGTAAATTGTTATTTCTGTGATGTGTTATTTGTCTTTGTGTCATAGCATATTAAATTTTTGTCCTTGTCTGCCTATAGAAAATAATTGTAAATTGTTAATTGTCTTTGTGCCAACGCCAATCATATTTTGACGAGTTAATTTGTGGTGTTGTCTAACCGGTTTCTAATAGGTTTTTTATCCTCTATAATGAAAATTGTAGATTGCGCCTACAGAAATTGCAATGAACAAAATCTACAATTTTAGTATAAAATATGTACAATAACCGTCGCCTGAAAATAAAGTAAAATTCATATTCAACACGAGTCAATTCATAATCAACTTTTTATATGTTATTAGTGTTTTACTGTACATAGCGTTCATTATGGGCCTTGATGTTTATATATCTCTACTACTTCCAAATCAAGGATTGATTATGTGGCCCATTTATAAGGGTAGCTTGATTTCCTTCCGTCATCCATTTTGGGCTTAGACGTCCCAACTCTGCTAGATGGGCCTAAGTGACCACCACCTGTTTCAAGGCACAGACAGTTTTGCTACTAAAAATAGTTATTATAAATGAAACTAATTAATATGTTTTATGTGTTAGTATGTTTTGCATTGCTGGGACGACAACAATTGCGTCAAGATTCTTAAGCATTGCAAGGATGCTATCCCTGCAAGAGACGCCGGAGGAAAGGTGGTAATCACAGAGATGGTGCTGGGGTCCGGGCCTCATCGTGACACAAAAGTTGCTGAGACAGAAGAGAAGCATAGCTTGTTCCTCACGTGCATCAGCGGCATGGGGCGAGAGGAGCATGAGTGGAAGAAGATTTTCCACGATGCTGGATTCAGCGACTACAAAATCACTCCGGTGATGGGCCCGATTTCGGTTATCGAGGTTTACCCTTGATACTTGCATTAAAAGAGGAACTGAAGTTTGCCTAAATGATGAATTGTAGTGACATACATATAGTCCTAGTTTGCCTACCTGCATCACTATCTATATAGCCCACGTAATTGTGGGTTTTCTTTATGTTATTGTGTTTGTAGTTCATGGTGAAGTCAATAAAATCAATTATGTATATGTGTGTAACACAATGAAATAAGATGGCTTATGCATTTCAGTTCCATTGTTCACATAACGATTTACAGAATGTCATTCAGCCCTCTTCTCCCACACACCCTACGGCCTAATATTTTTCGGTGCAGCAGGTTCACCAAGCTGGGTTTGATTTGTGCCGGTGCAACACGGTGAAAAATTAGTAGTATACCGAGCTGGGTTTGATTTGTGCCTTCACCCGAGATAAACCAGTACTGCCAGTGCACAGCTAGCAAACCTTCTTACTTGTTTGCCGGGCATTGTTCTTGGAGATGAACTTGATGATAGGCGGTTGAAGCTCACCGGCAGACGATACACGTCCAGGGATGCATACATCGCTCTTGAACCCCATCAAGGCTAGCCGGACCTGATCGGACAGCGTATTTGGAAAATGCGAGTTCCAAATAAAGTTAAGATTTTTGCCTGGTTATATTTCAAGGACAGGCTGAGTACACGGAGCAATCTCTTTGCCAAGCATGTTCTCGATGACGATATCTGCCGCAGCTGCTCAAATCACGTTGAAGACCAGGGCCGTGTTTTCTTGAGATGCCCTTCTAGTATGAAACTCTGGGAAAGACTCAGACTACGTGACGTTGGCATTATATCAGACACAGATGTATAGTCTGCAATGATCCCCCCTCACTTGGATAGGGGCCTCTGGCCATTTGTGCTGCTTACCCTACTCTGGAGAACTTGGGAGGCCAGGAACGGAGAAACCTTTAGGAATGAACCCTCATGCAGCAGGCGTGTAGTTTAGAACTTGTGATGATCTTGTTATTTGGCAAAAACGCCTCAATGCTGACTAGTTCGCTGGCCTCAGCCTTTACTGAATGTTTTTAGTAGGTTATTACTACTAGCTTATGGACTGTATGAATAGTGCCATTATTGAGTCCATAGAGTCATCATCATTCCGAAAGCGCATTGCCAACAAATTCAGGTGGCAATTTCTGCGCCCTGGCTGCAACAAATTCAAATTGGTCGATCAGAATTGCAATAACTTTTAATATTCCATATTGCCTAAACATGAGATAGAGTTTATAGACAAGAAGAAAACGTTGCTGAAAAAATAGGTTGAAAATAGATTGAAAATGGTCTAAACGTTGTAATAATAGGCTGAAAAATAAGTTAAAAATGGGCTGAAAACATTGATTTTGGCCTGTTAATAAATGGCCACGTCATCATCCATGTAAGCATCATAACGATGTGGCAATTGATCGACGTTGTTTATTTTCCTTCATAGACATTGGGCGTGGGTTGGGCTAAGGCCTTGGGCTATCCCATGACGGTCTAGTACCGCCATAAATTGTGTTAATCTGTGATGGTTTTTGAAAAACCGTCACACAGGTTAATTCTTGACGCTCAATCCACGATGATACTGAAACCATCACAGACACTAGTTCGATTTTATGGTGATTCATGACAGAATTTTTCCATCATGGATTAAGACGATTTTTTTGTAGTGCAGCTGTAGACGAAGTCAGACGGCCTCGACGAATGAGATTGCACCAGGACACCCTAGCGAACCTACCCTGACATGATGCTTTTAGGCAGGGTTCCAAACGTTCAGCAGTGTTGCACCGTCCATGTGTGCCGCTGAAAAAAAAATCTATGGATGGCTAGAGAGTTGAATAGCCTACTAAAATTTCTATAAAGAAAACAACACTAGGCAAGTATATTAGTATAAAAGAAAACCTAATAGCTACTACTTGCCAAGCCCATTTCAATCTAAAGCAAGCCTTCCTACACAAATCAAGTAGCAAGCTTAATTAACAACCATAGAAGCACACAAGCTACTAGAGGCACCTCTTAACAACTAGTGAGTGAACAAGAACAACAACATATGATGAGGTACAAATAGAGTCCTAATCATTTTACATGTGAGTTTTCTAATTTGTTACAAGGAAAGGAACCTATCGGATCAGTGCAAATATCTTGGTTTCCAAGGCTTTATTGTTGATAACTTGTTTTCCATGTCACTGGCATACCTGTTTGGTTTGGGCTTCTCGTGTAGCCTACTTGGTGCACCCCGTCCCATTTTAGCATTTTTCTTGTGGTGTGGGTACCCGATATCAATACATTGACAGTTGATATATTAATATAAAAATCATACACTGTGTTAAGAGCCATCCAGCAGGTGTGTACCTTTGAGCCTTAAATTCAAACGAGGGCTCTATCATCCAACTGTTTGTTCCCTAAATCACTATACCGCAGCCCATCTATAGCGTCCTACGGAGAGTCGGTATAAGTCCTTATAGCGACCTACAGTCAGTCGGTATAGATCTATATCGACCAACTCTATGTGTCGCTGATAGTGGCGTCGCTATAAACTTATACCGACCGACTCACCTATACCGACCGACCGTTGGACGGTACTGTGTAGATATGCCGACCAATAGTTTTTGACGCCTATTGTAAACTTATACCGACCAATGGTCTGACGATATGTATTTTTAACGACCAACTGTCCAACACTACACACAATAAGAACTAATTAATCTTGTAGTAACCATATAGTAAACATTAGCCATCCAGCTCAGGTTAAACATCAAACACAAAACTTGCTAAACCATTCTCACAATTTTCATTGAAGCCATCAACTTTTGTACTTTTACATAGTTTTATACAACATACTCACAACCAAGCAAGATCATTGAAGTATCTACACAACTAAGATGTTTGTCTTGTACAATCCATAACTAACATGTCTTGTTTGTACAACCATAAAGTTCTTTTAAAAAATGTTTCATCTCTAGCAAGTCATGGAACAAAACAACCATCGTGGGCACTTTGATCTTTTTTTCTACATCAAGCTACATCTAGTACCTTGTACCTGAAAATCAATACAACCATTCATCAATTAGTATCTAACTGCAGTTTTTAAACAGTGATTTGCCACTACAACTTCACTGAAAAGATATGCCATTTAGGTGCAAATAAAACCATTGTTACAAGTAAATCACTATCACACTGAAAGATCAAATTCTGAGATGGAGATGGACATAAGCACGCATTTCCTTGAGACTGTAACTGAGATGCAGATGGACATGCTATTTAATTTTGAGTAATATTTGGCGTGTAATTTGAGAATTGTGTGCGGATTCAATACAATAAAAAGAACCATAAGCTATCTTCATTCCAAAATCATTGATTAAATATTATATAAGAATATATGTTAGTCAAGAAAGTCCAAGTATCTAAATGATTGATTAAATATTTTATAAAAAGAACAAAGGGGACACACTCAAAACTCCCTGATCAAGCTGTTTGCTGTAGCAGTAGCTGCTTTCCCGCCTCCATATTTTTTGGTGGTCTTTCTTAACTCTGTCCAGGAAAGATATGGGTATTTGTCACCCAACTGATTCAGTTCAGCAGCAAGCCAGCAACTACATAAGAGGTTGTAGAAAAGCAAACAATCACTACTAGATTCACGTTCTTTGCCGAGTGCCTGAAGCACTCGGCAAATGCCAAATTGCACTCGGCAAAGCCTTTGCCTAGTGCGGCACTCGGCAAAGAACACACGATAAAAAATTGATCGGCAAAGGCCTCTTTGCTGAGTGTCTTTTATCGGGCACTCGGCAAAGAAAAGCGACCGTCACGGCGCCGAATCCGTTGACGGTGGCTTTGCCGAGTGCCAACCTTGCAGGCACTCGGCAAAGAATTTTTTTTTTTTTAAAAAAAAATTCTTTGCCGAGTGCCCACTGGCCGGCGCTCGGCAAAGTTTGATTTTTTTTTAAAAAAAATTCTTTGCCGAGTGCCCTATTTCCGGCACTCGGCAAAGTTTGATTTTTTTAAAAAAAAAATCTTTGCCGAGTGCCCTCTGGCCGGCACTCGGCAAAGTTTGAATTTTTTTAAATTCTTTGCCGAGTGCCCTCTGGCCGGCACTCGGCAAAGTTTGAAATTTTTTTTAAAAAAAAATTCTTTGCCGAGTGCCCTATTTCCGGCACTCGGCAAAGTTTGAATTTTTCTTTAAATTCTTTTGTCGAGTGCCCTATGGCCGGCACTTGGCAAAGTTTGAATTTTTTTTAAATTCTTTGCCAAGTGCCATGGTCATGGCACTCGGCAAAGCTAGAAAAATGGTTTTCCGTGCGCCCATTTTCCAGCTTTGCCGAGTGCTGTGACCATGGCACTCGGCAACGGGGTCCTTTGCCGAGTGCAACACTCGGCAAAGTGACCCAAAACAGCAATTTTTAATTTTTTCCATCATGACAAATAAATTCATATATCTCATCCATCACATATATATATCATCCATCACATATATATCTCATCCATCCACACATCCATCCGCACATATCACATCCATCACAATATATATCACATATATAATAATAAGTGCTCAAGTCCATCCAAATAAATTCACGAGTCCATCAAAGTCCACAAGTGCATCACAAGTATATCACAAGTCCACCACCAAGAGAACAACAAATGCATAAAATACAACATGCACTCATCTCGGCCACTACGACTGTGGTGAAGGCCCAGTTCCATCATTCGGAGGTGCATGAGGTGGATTATTCGAACCATCGTTAGATGGAGACTGCACAAAGGAGAAAAGATTGCATGTGAGACAAGATTATTTGGATATCTGATCTAGGAAGGTAGAGGCCATACAAGCAAAGCACAAGCGAAAGTAAAAAACTTTCATACTCACAGGAGTAGCTGGAGCTGCAGGACGCGGAGGCAGAGGTGGAACCAACAGCCCAGCTGGCAGAGAGAAGCCCACATGTTGCCCAAGCCCTTGTAGGAACTCCGTAATGTCCATCAGCCTCTGCGCCTGGGCCTGCCGCTCGGCCCGCTCGGCCTCCAGCTGG